CTTTAGAAGACCTTTTCAAAACACTATAATTAAGTTAGTTTTCATTAAGATTCTTTCCGAGTTATGAGGCCTGAAATCATTTTTTAATTTTATATAAAATATCTTGTAAAATATTCATTTTTCAATTATCTTACCTCAATACTTTTATGTACAAAATAATGAGAGGAATCAATTGGTATAAAGAAAAACATTGGTATAAAGAAAACACAGTTTCGAAAAAAAAATATGTAATTGTTAATTGCAAATTACATATTTTTTCTGTTGCCGAACTTGGAAAACATTATTAATGCCTGTAAGAGGATTTCTAAGACGAGAAATGAAACAAAATTTTGTATTACAAAAATTTTAATAACTCAAAAACTAATTATTTCCGAACCTATGTAGATTAACTTCTTTTTCTTCTCTAAGTATGAGGAATCCATTCTTGAAATTTTGCTCACCACTTATGTAACACCCTGTATATGAAATATATATCAGTGTTCAACATACATATGTAAAATAAATTTTATTACAATAAACATGTATATTAATATTATTTATTAATTTAATTACATACTTTAAAAATATATTGAAATAAAACACATTTTTTTAAAATCATGTTTAAAACATTTGTTTTTTTAAATATGTTTAATACAAAATTGTATTTAATTTGATGTAATGTAAAAAACATGTTTTAAACATTTACTTCAAACATAAATGTTTAAAACGTAACAATCCTGTTACATATTCACGCGTAATTTTAAATGATATGGAGAATGATATATTTTATTTTATAAATTAATTATTAAACAATTATTTATTAAGCGATTGATGTAACACGGCACCATTCGTTATGCTACATATTTGGATTTATTCGATTGTTTTACCGCTCTTTTTCGAAATCAAATTCTATAATATTTAGTTTTGCATTTTAAAGGACTAACTTATAGCGAACTAAATAAATAAATAAACTAATGTTGAGAAGAAAAAGAATAAAAAACATAAATAAATAAATAAATAGCGTGGAATTAAGAGAGAATATATTAATATTTTTATTATAATAAATTATTATGAATTAAATTATTTATATTCTTATTTATATTTTTTATATTATTTATATTATTAGGGAGAAGACTGTGTCATGGTCTGCTTGATTTCTGAAAGAGCCTTTTTTCTGAATAAGGCATCTGTAGACATTAAAAAGAGAATAACATATATATGTTGCTCTCTGAGAACATTCGTAGACATTGGCCTTGTAGTTCATGACCACGTTTCAGGGATCATTTAAAAGCAGGCCACCTCTCTATCTTCACTCTAGTTTTAGTATGTATTAGAGTTTATTAATGCCTCTTGTTGGGAAAAGCCTTATATCTCTCATATTTACGAAATTAGTTACTAGTTATTAAACAGAATTAGTAAAACGAAACTAATATTAGTCTGTTGCAAGATTTTTTGTTTTATTAAATATTCTTTGCAATGACTACGATTACATCATTACCTAACGAAATAATCATTTTTATTTTGAAATGTGAGATTATCGACATCGAAGATATAGTAAGATTTGGATCCACGTGCACGAGATTCCAAGAGTTAATACAAGACAAGAGTTTGTGGAGACAGAAATATTATAAGAGGTATTTATTTCTTATTTATTTTAATATATTTTTATTATTTTATTCTTTTTAATTTTTTATATTAATTTTATTTGATTGACTTTCATCGTTCAATGAAATATTTTTCATGAAAATTAATAAACGTAAAATAACGACAAATAATTGATTTGTTTAATGTTCTAAATCCCAATGAGGGAGAAATAATTTGTTTAATAATCGCGATTACTTTGAAACTCAGAATATTAAAGATACAGATTTTTCAATTAGATGAGTAAATTGGAAATAGTCCATTTATAAGAGAATACAAAATTAATTGAAAATTCGAAAATGCTTATCGCAAACAAAGTCTTTAGCCAGACAGAAAGAGAATGATATCATTTGCACCATGATGTTTTTGACCTTCTCCTGAACCTAAAGGCCTTTGCACAATGCTAGGCAACAGGCAATAGGAACAGAAATACTATCTATTATCTGCTGCTATTGGCGAATATTTCCTATTCCGCGTTTTATTGGTGAATAATTTCTATTCCCTATTTCTATTGCCTATTATCTAGCATTGTGCAAGAGCCTGACAACGTATGCCTATTACATATATATGTTCTCTACTTTTTATTTTTATAGATTTCTTATTTCTATTTTTGTAGATTTTGTTACTAAATTATAAACAAAGAAACTAACTATGTTCCCCATAGTGTATGTCGCCTTTTTATATTAACTAATTAATAAAACTACTTAAGATTTTTGAAATACAAATCTCAAAAAAAATAATTTTTAATATAAAAATTATATTATCTATAACAATCTTTAATTTTTAATTCGACCTTATAATTAAATCCAATTTGACCTTATAATTAAAAGAGGAGTTTATTTTTGTGTTGTGAAAAGAATAGAAAGATATCAAATTAGATTATTATTATATCTATTTTTAAACTATTTTCTATTAAAACTTCGTAATAATGAACCTCAAAGTATAACACGTAAAATCAATATTGTATACAATTTTTAGAATTTAATCCAAATATTGATATAAATGCAATTAAAAAATTTGTACATATTTTAGAAATTAGAATTTATTATTGGTTTAAAATAATTGTTATTGTTTTGCCTAAAATTTATTATTGTTTTAATTTTTAGGTATCCATGGATGGAGGAAAGACATAATACAGAAAGGTGGAAGAAACTTACCAATTTAGATTTTCAAGAACAACTAATAGCGATTATGGGCGATATTATAATATCATTTCAAAGCATGTGAAAAACCTACAGCATTATCCGTCTGCGATATATAAAAATGAGTCATTAATCACTCAAAAAGACATTATTAAAGAAGAATTCGATAGGCTTTTGTACTCCGTAGCTGCAAATTCTGAGGTTTTCACATTTATTTTTTTGAGTTATTTAGAATTGTTTCTAAAAAATGATCAAGGTAGAATTCAATAAACTAAATTGCTATTAACATTAAATTAATGTAATTATTATATAGTTAATAATTAAATTTTTATTTAGAAATTTTGCAAGAATGTGCACTAACATATTTGACTACAACTTCATTTTACGACGTTTAGACGATCAAGAACTATATATAAATTCGTCATACATCGACCATTGCATGCACGACTACATAATTCGCTATATAAATGAAATTGAGCGATATCTCCTATCGCACGTGTCTTATTCGAAAATGCATGGTTAGATGATATCGAGCAAGAAATATTGTCTCGCTTTAAAAATAAATATCTTACATATCCAATATTTTGGATATGTTCTGAGAAACTCTCCTTTTGCGGAGAGACCAATATCACTGACACTTTCTGGAATGAGACAGAAATTAATACAAATTGTAGAAACACTCGACGAGTATGTATTTTCGAAGGTAATGCTCCGTAAATTGGATCAACTATGACAAAAATTAGATCCGAAAGACTATCGTAACTATGTAAGTTATTTTGAACAATACATTACGGATTATATGAATTAAACTTTGTTAAGAGAAATGTTTCCACACTTTTTTTAGAATATATTAAAGTGATGAATTATTTAAAATATTTTCAAGTTGTCTGACAATAATAAATACGCACAAAAAAGAAAATGTCAAAGAATGTCTCCGAATTTTAAAAAATTAAAGTCTTTCAAAATTCAAAATTTACATCTCCATTACGCAATATATTAAATTATACAATCATATTTTGTTCCGCGTTAAATACATCTTTATGCTCGGTATGAATATTCACAGAATCATATAGTCTAACGTTTAATTTATGCCTTAGGAACAGTGTTGACAATTTAGCTACTTTGTAGCTAGATATAGCTATTTTTTCTTTCATCTAGCTTGTGAAAAATGGATTTAGCTATTTAGCTTTTTTCTTGCTTTTTTTCATAAAGTTAAAACATTTTTGTACGGTATTAATGATTACAAATGTTTTAAAATTTTGAATTAAGGTCTTTGCATGTACAAAAATTTTAGTTGTAATCGTAAAATCGTAAGGAAACTGACAAATCATAGTCGAGTATTCTGATGAAAATCCTTTTAAGAACATTGCAGAAGTAGCTTTATTATTTCTAGTACTTCTAATTTCAAATGCAGAAGTTGAGCGTATTTTCAGTTAACTCAACTTAATAAAAAATAAAACAAGAAATAATCTAAGTCTTAATATGATTAATTCAATATTATGTGTACGCTATGGTTCAAAAAGGCACGGTAAATATTGTCACGATTATGAGTTACCAGAAAAAAATATTAAAAATTATTGGTACAAACAAAGCTTATCTCTAAAAATATGAAAATTTTTAACTTAAATGATTTTTACTTAACAAATTTTTAACAAATATTTCAGCTAGTTTGCTTTATCTCTTAAAAAATTCTCACTTAAATAAAATATATATACATATATGTATATATATATATATATATATATATATATATATCATTTAAGTGAGAATTTAAATATATTAAAATAAATATTATATGGATATATTTATTTATTTATATTGCTTAATAATAAAATTTAAATATTATAGCTTAAAAATAAAAATACAGAAATTTTTATAAAATATTTTATTCATTGAAATAAGCACCTTCACAAATTATAATTTTTTTTCGAGGTACAAGTTTATAAATTTTACCTTTATAAACTGTATTTTTAGAAATAAAAAAATTTGATAATTTTCATTTCACTCTGTACTCTGGACTTTAACTGTCATTTTTTAAAAAACAAATCTTACTGATAAGTATTATGTAATAAAATCTTGCGTTAAATTTTAACTATTAATCTAGCTATTATTTTAACTATTAATCTAGCTATTATTTTTTCTTGACATTAAAATTCAGCTATTATTTAGCTTTTTTTAAAATACTGTCTAGATTTTTTTTTCCCAGCTGTTGGCAACACTGCTGGCCAATGACGATGCTCTGGAGCCATGGCTGCTGATGCTCACTCTCAGATCTCTCTCTGTGTTGTTATAAACGAGAATTGTATTAAAAATTTTTATTTTGACTGCTCTACAATTAAATTGATCGGAATTTAATTGAAGTAGCTCTTGATTAATAATTAGGATTCATATTGTATAATAAAAGTGCTTTTATTCAATATTCTACGTGCGTTAAAAATATCAATCTCAAGGTAAGAGAATAATGATATTCAACAAGTGCAATATTCGATGGGCAGCTCAAAACAGATGATCTATAGAGAAATAACGCGGTAACAAAAAATCGACCGCTAATCATGTTCACGTAAGTATTAATTTTTTTTTTCTAATTTTGTGAGCCGATATTAATTTTTCATCTATTGGGAGGAAAATCATTCAAATTAAACGAAAGAAATAATTACTTAAATGTTTTATAAAGAAATAATTAAATATTTTAGTATTTAATGTTTTAGTATAATTAAATTAATTATACCAAAATATAACATTAATTTATTGTAATATTATTTTCTCCCATCTGAGATATTTTATATTTTAAGGACCTTTTTTTATCTTTATAAATTGCAAAAATTTTGTTTGCTTTTTTTAGGTTGAGAAAATAAGGGATAAATGCCCTTTTTACGAAAGTTTCTATTAAGGCTGACGATTCTTGCATTGTTTCTGGTAGCCCTCTACTGCTATCAGACATCTAATGGTGGGCACTGGATTGTGCCTAATCTACGAATGCGAAATGCAAGCCTGGCGAATCATACAACCACCTTAAAGGTGACAAATTATTCCATCGAGACTGCTCAAGACAATTATTTATCTTCGACAACAAATGCTCTGCCACACAATTGGACAGACTATTACAATATTTGGTGTATCTTCACCAAAGTTGCTTCAAACTCGCCCATGAGACGCAAGTTCCAGATATTTGTAGATTCTTTGCTCAGATTCACCTCTGTAAACATTGCCTTCCATGTTATAAGTGATGATGAGAGTCAAAATATAGCACAAATTGTTATTGGAGATGTTATGGTTAATACTGGAAAGTTTATGAGGGTATATATATCCTGTTTTATTTATGATAATATTTATATAATATATCATATATAATATTTTAATTTATATAATATATATCATATATAATATTTTAATTTAAATAATATATCAATATATCATTTATTGTAGTATTACATTATAGGTCAAATCTAAATTTATTCATACATATATATACAGGTGTCCCAAAAGTCCCAGACCAGTCGAATATTTCATAAACTATGCACTTTAGAAAGAAATGTTTCAGACAAAAGTTGTATGGCTTGAAGGGGGCCATCAGATACTGGCAATGATTTGACATGGGAGAGTCATTTGAAAGTCACATGAAGATCATCGTCAATTTCTTAAATGGAACTCCCTATTTTTTATTACATATTCGTGTAGCTCGAGAGCTTTCCAAAACACTATAATTAAGTTAGTTTTCATTAAGTACTTTGCGAATTATGAGGCTTGAAATCATTTCTTAATTTTATATAAATCGTAAAATATCTTGTAAAATATTCACTTTTCGATTATCTTACCTTAATACTTTTACGTACAAAATAATGAGAGGAATCAATTGGTGTAAAGAAAAAACATAGTTGCTTTTAAGAAAAAAATATGTAATTTGCAATTAACAATTACATATTTTTTTTTTTAAACAATTATGTGTTTTCTTTACACCAATTGATTCCTCTCATTATTTTGTACATAAAAGTATTAAGGTAAGATAATCGAAAAATGAATATTTTACTAGATACTTTATAGTTTATGTAAAAGTAATCTTAAGTAATTAAGAAATGATTTCAAGCCTTATAACTCGAAAAGTACTCAATGAAGAAATACTTTATTATAGTGTTTTGGAAAGCTCTCGAGATAAGCTACACGAATATATAATAAAAAATAGAGGGTTCTGTTTAAGAAATTGACGGTGATCTTCACGTGACTTTCAAATGACTCTACAAGGTCAAATCATTGCCATTATCTGATGGCCCATACAACTTTTGTCTGAAACATTTCTTTCTAAAGTGCATAGTTTATGAAATATTCGACCGGTCTGAGACTTTTGGGATACCCTGTGTGTATATATATATATATACATATATATATATATATATATATATATATATATATATGTAAATGTAAATGATAATATGTAAATGTAAATGATATATATATATGTAATGTAAATGATAATTAATTTGTCAAAATATAAAATCACACTTTGTGTCTAAAAAAGATACAATATGTCAAAAAAATATCTTAAAAAAGAAACATATATATATATATATATATATATATATATGTTTCTTTTTTAAGATATTTTTTTGACATATTGTATCTTTTTTAGACACAAAGTGTGATTTTACATTTTGACAAATTAATTATCATTTACATTTATACTTTGTGTGATTACATAATTAAATGTTTTATTAAATTTATTTTCAGGTGTTTTATTATGATGTACATAAACTGGCCACACAATTAGAGGATATTGTATCAGTTATGTCCCCACATTTTAGTAGTAAACCAGGAACGTATTATTCTGATGCATTGTTCTTTCTCTCGCTGGGCATGCACAAGATTGCACCGAGTCACCAGAAACTTGCCGCGATGTTCGATGCGGATACAAAATTTCGCAGAGACGTAAAGGATTTATTTGAAGAGTTTAATAATTTTGGGAAGGAGGCTTTGTTCGGCTTGGCTCCAGAGTTGACCCCCGTTTACCGACATGTTTTGTACTTATATCGTACTAAACATCCAACAACAATGTTTGGCGAACCTCGGCACAAGGGCGGATATCCTGGCTACAATAGTGGGATGGTGCTTTTTAATTTAGAAAGATTACGAAAGTCTCTCGAATACAATGAAATTCTTACTAAGAATAGTGTGGATATAATGACAGAGAAATATCACTTCAAGGTAAATTTGAATAATTGTGCAACTTATTTTTTTTTTGTGGCTTTGTATAACAAAAATTTTGCGTTATATAATACAACATGATAATCTTTTATTTATCCAAAAAAAAATATTCCATTATAATAATTTCTTTCCTATCTTTTTTTGATAAATTTATATTTATTCTAAATCTCCATTTATTTTTCTCTGACTAAATACTATTTTAAAAATTAAAATTCAACTTCAAATTTATATAAATCCATATGATCAAATATATCATTTATTAAGAGACTTGAAAAAATATTTTTATAAAATTTTAAAAAGAAAACTGCGATTATTAGGACTGAAAGTACATTTAATAGATATCTTTTACACCAAACATATAGAATATGATAATCTATATTTATTAGATATTGAACATCACTTGTCTTGTTGTAGGGTCATTTAGGCGATCAAGATTTTTACACACTTCTAGGCATGGAAAGACCAGAACTTATCCACACAGTTGATTGCGGTTGGAATAGGCAACTTTGTACCTGGTGGCGTAATCGTGGTTATGCGGATATATTTGCCAACTACTCAGAATGCCACTCAGAGATCAAACTGTGGCATGGGAATTGCAATACTCCTATACCTGATGATTAATGATTTATAATTTTTATCGAAATTTCACATGTACGCATGTGTGTATATAGTAAATATTAAATATAAAAAATGCTTCCAATTTGTAATTTTAAGAACAATGGTATTAAAGTATGAACAAAATGATACACAAACTAAGAATGTTAAAGAGAATTATAAGTAAAATTACATAATGCTTATTTATGTTAATAAATTTAATAAATTTTATTTGCTTTAGAATTATTGACTAAGAAACATAGAAAAGTGTATATTTTTCTCTCTATTATTTTTATCCTTTTAAAATTGAATACTTATTAATTAAAGGAGTGATTTTTAATATAAACAAAGAGCAAGGAATTAAAAAGTATAATTTAAAGAGTACTTGTTATAATGCAAAGTTCATTAATACTTGATTGTGCTTATAGAATTTGATTCAATATTTTGCTTTTTGTGCAACTGTGATTTTTCATTGCAATATATATTTCTATGTTTCCTTTCCAGTGGCAATATATGTTGTATTATATAATTAATATAGTATCTAATTGGTTTATAATAGGAATCATTCCTGCAGATTATATAATTATATAATATTATATAATTATATAATATTATATTATATAATTATATAATATTATATAATTATAATATTATATAATTATAATATTATATAATTATATTATATAATTATATAATATTATATAATTATATAATATTATATAAAAATTATATAATATAGAATATATTATGATATATCGTAATTATATATATTAAAATAAATCAATATCTATATAAGTTTATATATAAGGCAATTTTATATTGAAGTAAATGTGCATACTTATATCAAAAATTATATTCTATTAGACGAAAGAGGAGTTATGCCTATTCCAGATAATTAATAACGAATTTAATTTTTGAGTAAATTTGTCGCCGATCTTGCATATATTTTGTTTACTGGATAATTATATTGTGAAAAAAAAATAGATTTATAGGTATATAATACAAACAAAGACTAATTTATATTTGAATATATATGTATATATAATACTTTACACCTTATGCCAAAATACAATCGTTTGTTATATCGACACAATATATTTATGGAGAAAAATAAATTGCTCAATTTAAATATAACGTATTCTTTTCTACAAGTAGTTCTAGTTTAAGTCCAATTATTTCGATTATTTATAACTCAATATTGACCAGATTTAAAGACTATTTTGTATTTAGTATAATAACGCATTCTACACAACTTTAAATTAGTGTACAATAGATAAAATAAGATATCACCTTTGGTCCCGTTGACAGAAACTTATAGTTAATCGTGAAAATTGTGTGGAAACATGTTAATGTTTAGCATTAAATCGCTATTAGTATCTATCTGTTCACGATTAATTTTGGTATTATATATCCTTTTTATAAGTATATCTCACAGTAAAGCTAAAATCAAACTGTTCTATCCAACTAAAAATAACTAATCTAATTTTCTCTCTTCACGTTAATTAATGAGCAATCGTTGATGACTATTCATGTAAATAAAATAAAATAATTTCCCGTCCTTTTTTTACGAGCAAGTAAATATGGAATACACTTCGAATACTATGTACATTTTCTATCGTCTTGCGACGGAGTTTTGGTTGTTGTAGCTTTTTCTGTATCATATTTACATGTGCTTAACGTGGAGCCATAATCAGATTTTCGGTCCGTTTAGTTATTTCTATTGAAAGTATAGCTTGAGAAAAATATACATGATAAAATATAACGTTCGAACAACTTGCAATATCAATTACTAATATTGCAAGCACATATTTCTGAATTGTTCTCTCTCTCTCTCCACGTTAAATGCTGATGCGGAAAATATAAATATTTCCTTTTCCTGAATTTATACATATATAATATGTGTGTATTATATATAAAAGCATGTGTAAATGTTTCGAAAAATATTTCACTTATTATATTAAAATGCCATTTGGATATTTATTTCTTAAATTAATCCTAAAATACTACAAAAAAAAACAAAATACAATAATTATGTTAACACTAAAATTGCAGATGAAATATTTTTGTCTTATTTCTAAATTTAAATTGACATTGATTTTACATTTTTGCACTACAAAATTGTAAATTTTTATTTACATGTAAAATTTATAATAATATCTTCATAATTAAACAGATGAAAATACTGTAATAATATATATTCGTTTCTAATGATTTTAAAGATTTAACAACATCAGCAGTTTTAGTGTTAAATATTAATTACACATATATATATATATATATATATATATATATACATATATATATATATATATATATATATATATATATATATATATATGAAAGATCAGATATCTGTTCAAAGATTTTAAAAAATCACGAATTATTGAAGTTTTTCGAAAGTTTTTTATTTATCTTATTTGAAAAAAAAAATCTTTAGTAGTATTTCAGGATTAAATAGAAATTTTTTCAAAATTATTTGCACATACTTTTTTGTAAACAAAAAAAATAGAGCTTTAACATTTAATCTGAAAACAAATGCAATAAATTTATATCTAATGAAATAAAAAAAAAACACTCAGAAATCTTGAAGTTACACAAATTTCGGTTTAAACGAATTCTTTACTATATCCAAAATCACTGTGCTTATTATAAGTGATTATTTATAAAGACTCAATAACACACAACAGCACACAAATTAATATCTCCCAGCGATCTGAAACAGAAAATTATTATTTTTTATAACAATTAATTTGTTTAATAATTTAATTTGTTAATAATTTATTTTATAGTACACACATACTGTTCGTTACAATGTATATATAATATGTATGCAATATATTTACAATATAATAAGATAACAAATCATATAATGTAAGTTTAAATTTGACGATTATTTAAACTTCAAGTTTCAATTTTTTTTCAAAATTATAGTCTATTTTTTTAATTTAAAAGAAAATTACAAAGAACAATAGATTTTTTAAGATAATTTTTTGAAAATTATAATCTATTTTTTTTATTTAAAAAAAATTACAAAGAACAATAGATTTTTTGATATAATTTTTTAAAAAATGACTATTTTGAGGCATAAAATTTGCATCGATATACTTACACTTTTTAACTTTTCACGTCCGCCGAAATTCCTGATAGACTCCAACAGCGTATCCCTAGAATCTAATTGAACCGGTGCCGATTTGGGTCTTGTGCTTGTATTTTTCAGCGTTACTCCCGTTATTATTGGCATGGTTGGAGGTTTACAAGATTGAATATCATTGTAACTATCCATTGCTGATAGTTCCTTATGCTTTATTTGATTGTTATTCATCTTGGAGTCGCCAATAGGTATCTTGAATCCCTTTACAACAGGCATCGGTGGATTGATCCTTATACTATTACTGATATTACACTTGAGAGACGTTTCATTTTGCGGCCTGAAATTTTGACTCGTCCCATTTACGCCCACGACGGACGTGAATCTCTTTGCCTGTGAGTTCTCCTGAATATCGTGCATCCAGGACTGATTCTTGGAAGAGAGGTCATTCTGATTAGGTGCCTTGGCAAACTTGGGGTGACCGTTTTGCTTGACACTCGTGTCTACCGTTCCTTCTATTTTATCCAACTGTATATCGCAATTCGCCGAGTGTCTATTAAGATTAGTGCGTTTAGGCTTCTGCTTAAAGTTCACATTCTGACCGAACGAATTTGTCAATTCTCTGAAATTTATTGGCGTATCGATTTCGTTCTCACTGTTCTTCGGCAGCTCAACGAATGTCTTCTTCAACTCGACCCCCATCACGAAAGGTCTATCCTTGTTCTTCGTCGAATCGAATGCGTTAACTCGGTTCGGCATTGGTGCCTTGAAGCCCGACGCTGTTGTGTGTGTAATCAGCTTTCTCGTGAGTTCATCAGGATTTTTATTCGCCGAAGAATTCACGTTAATCTCGTGCTTAGCGGTGTTATTTTTATTGCTGACGTTGCTGGCATAATTCGTGAAATCTTTCTCGCTTTTTGCGCTGTTAATATTAACAATAGTCTTACTGCTGTTCGTATTGTTTCTTCCTAGTTTGTAATCGGTATCCATTTTAATTTGGACATTGACGCTGGGTCTTTCCGACCAACTGCCCAGACTGATCGCAGGTGGACCGGTGTAAACATAACGTTTCGTATTTTTTTCCTTCGACAATTGTTTACATTCCGAGTCTAAATCTTGAGATTCCAGTGTTGAAGCTGCATTCGTTTTGGTCAAATGTTCGTTGGGTTCAGGCTCGTATCTGCTGGAAAATAATTTCTTTGGTGTAAAATATATATTGTCTGATTTATGCAATCAATATTGAAAAGTGATAAGATAATCAATATTACGATATTAAGTAGCACTATACTAAATATTTATATTAAGAAAATTTAAATACATAATTATAAAGAGCTTTAAAAGTCATAGAATTTCTGTTTGAAATAATTTTTCATAATAATGTTGATAATAATTTTTTATACGTTACAGTTTCGTTTGAACTCGAATATATCGAATTTTTTATTTAAAATTTTTAATTTAATTTTTATTTAAAATTTTGATACATTTTTATTTCTTTGCAAGAAATAATACTCACTTTTTTTCAGTCAATAATGCGCTACTGTATTCTTTGGATATATTTTCTTCCGCTTGTTGAGCATTTTTCAACTGCGGTAAAATACTTTTCAGCACCTATAAATTCAAAATAATATTTTTATGCGATTGTTGATAGAGCTGAAATATTACATCATTAATTTTATCATGAAAATCACACTTACAATTATTACAATTATTAAATTATTGTATATAATTATTGTATACAAGCTTAATTTTAATAGAAATTATATCAGTGGCAACAATTATAGTAATAATATTTATAATATTTATTAATATTTATTAATAGAATATTTATTAATATTAATATTTATATTAATATTATATAATTTATAATTTTATTATATTATTAATATTAATATTAATATTTATAATAGAAATAATAAAATAATAAAACTGACATAATCTCTGTAAAAATTTGCCGCATATTATTCTGTAATTTATTTACTTTTCAAAATAAATCATCTTTTTCTAATGCATACCAAGTTGAACCCATCACATTTGACTCATGATTTTCACTCTATAACTCCAAATTACCTGCAATGATTGTAATTGCTTCTCTTTGCTAGGTTCCTTCTGATGTTTTAACACGTTGTCTCTCCACTGCGAAAACTTTTCGTTGCCCCGCAATACGTCGACATTTAAATCTGTGATATTCGTAGATTTTCTTTCATCAATAATCCCCTGCTCGTGCTTTCTCTCAATTTTCTGCACATCTGTCTGGTACTTGGCGTTACTGGATATCGAGATATAACTCTTGGATCGCTGAATATTAGTCTTTTCGTTAAGAGACTGCAATCTAGGGGTCAACTCATTTTGATTGTAACATTTTTGGATTGGGACACTTTGGGACAAATCGAGATTAAGAGCGTTCGATTCTTCGAACTTGGTCGTCTCCTTATCGCGCGATATGTTGTTAATTAAATGCATACTTTTCGTCGTATTTTTCTTATCATTATCTTCTGCTTTGCTCCTCGAAAGCGTGGCAAATGTTTTAATAAATCTGTCATCCGAGTTTCTGGACTCCGCAAACTCCTCGAAAATGTCTATGCTGTTCTGTTTGGTATAAGTGGTGATCGTAAAGTTGGATAAAGTATTGTCCACGGGTGCTAATAAGCTGCTCGTGCTTTTCCGATCAAAATCCCTATTGATAGTCTGCGCTAATGCTCCAGTCTCTATTTTGCTCTCCAATTCCGAAATAATTTCCCTCCGCAAATCTGGATCGGCTTTTCTCTTGTGGGACACGACGGACATTTGCTCGACAGATCTGCCCAGTATTGGTTCATCGATTTCCGTTTCGGACGCCAAGTCCGTTTTTCCACTTGAAGCTCTTTGAAGTTGAAAATCTGCCTCCGAGCTATTCAATAAGTTCCTCGTCGATTCGATATTCTTACTGTTGTCTGTCGCATCAACGGACTCTGGAACCGGGCTTCCTGGCGGGTCCTTGAAGGCCTCTACCGATCCTAGCGTGATTGTGTCGTATTCAGTGTCGAAGACAGGGGAATGTGAATCGCGAAAGGCACTTGGTGGAGCCGGAAGATGATATTCCCAATCGCTGATCGACAGGTCCTCGCTCATCGCTGACACATAATCAGAGGTATTCACTTGCGAACCCGCTGTCGCAGTCATATTTGGTGTGCTAGCGCTCAAAGTATTTTCTGGGAGGTCGACACACGACTTGTAGATCTCGTTCGACTCATCCTTGATATCGACAGGTTCCGATTTGATCGTGGAATCGTCGAGAATGGCGACGTCTGCTTGCTTAGATGCAGTTGTACAACTCGATTTAAACGGCAACGATATTTCCGGTATTGGAGACGATGAGGTCGGTAGCACACTTGATAAGGTGTCTGATACTTTCTGCAGCAGGATATCGGTTTCAGATGGAGCATCCTGATTATCTATTGTAAATATAAGCAGAATAAAAATAAATTAGTCATATATTATTGGTCTTCTCTTATATTAAGATTATTTAATTAAATGCTTATTAAAAGATTGTTAAAAGTATGATCTAAAGATTAATTTTAAAAATATAATCTAAAGATTAATTTTAATGTTAACAATATTGAAGAAGTCGGAAAAAGATGATTTATTACGAAGATGTAAAAAATATGACAAATAGAAAACAATATTTGAAATTAAAATAATTTAAATAGATTAGCATGATCTTTTATGAAGATAATGTGATGATTACGTGCAGCAAAAAATACTAAGCGTGAATACTAAATGGAACAAACATGAGAAATGTAATTTTTTTTACATAAATGGAACAAATTTAAATCAAGATAAAATTTTATTAAGATAAAATGGCAATATGCCAACAAGTTGAAGTATTATATAAAAATATCTCCAAATATAGTATTAGTTGGTAAAATTATTAAGATAATAATCTTAATAGAAGAGGATACAATTGTATATAATACATAATGTATGTATATATATAAATGTAAAAAATAAAAAATATTTTTTCTATTTGTTATTGACATAAATTGAATATATTCACAAAAGAGATTAATTCCATTATACACATACATGCATAAATAATCAGCTCCTTCCACTTTTCTACCTCCCTTCCTCTTTAATTTTTTTCTTTTTTTTCTTCTTTTTTTCTTTTTCTTTTCCTCTCTCTCTCTTCTTTTCTTTTCCTCTCTCTATCTCTATTTCATCTTCTCCCTTTTCCTCCCTTTCTTTCCCTTTTGCTTCCTCTTTTTTTCTTTTCCATTTCTTCCTTTTTCTCCTTCTTTTTTCTATCTCCCTTCTTTTTTTTTATTAAATTGATAAACCCGTGAAAAAAATTAAATATGAAGTATGATAATAAAATACCTTGTATCTTACAAATTGATAAATTTTTCGATTATATAAAAATACTTTTATGCATAGATTGCATATGAATATATATATATATATATATATATATATATATATATATATTACTTATATATTTAAAGATAATATTTATATAATATATTAACATTTTTATTCTACATTTTCATTGCAACAGAAAGAAACTTTCTTAATATATCTTTTCTCTATTCTCTCCTCTTTCTTTTTTTTCTATATAAATCTAAAATTATTTTACTTTAAAAATAAATTAAATTTATAAAATTAGTAAGAGATTTATAAATTTAGTAGAGATTTAAAAATAAATAAATTTATATGTACGCCCCGACTTTTGCTATCTTATTATTATATTATAAAACACTATAAACATTTTTAATTGCATGCATAATATAAAAGAAGCGTAAATTCTAAAAGGATGTTAAAAAAGGATCAACATTAAATGAAATGGGATAGAGATTTCGGAAAGTATCATCGATACAATAACTACGACACTAGAAAAAACAAATATATGAAAGTGATAATAGATTCGAGATAAGAGGATATCGTTACATACATGCTGATATAGCACACATTCATGCATATCGATACAATTGATTAATCAGAAAGTCCTAATGTTCAATTGATAATATGGGCTATCAGATCCAGCGCAACTTGACAAATTAAGAAAAATTTCGAAATATACAGAGTGAACTCATAAAATGAATTTTATTAGATATTTTATGATTTATGTAAAATCAAGAAATCATTTCAAGCCTCATAACTCGAAAAGTACTCAATGGAAAAATACTTTATTATAATGTTTTGGAAAGTTAAGAGATATAAGAATAAGTGATAAGAAACAGAGAGTTCCGTTTAAAAAATTAAAAGTGCCCTTCATGTGACCTTAAAACAATTATCCAAGGTCAAACCAAATGGCATTATCTTATGTCCCCCTTCGAGTCAAACAACTTTTGTCTGAAACATTTTTTCGAAAAACTTCTCTTTTTCGAGATATTCGCGTAAATAGATTAAAATGGTCCACCCTGTATATTAAATAATTTCAATATAACCGAAGAAGAGCAAGTAAATTATTTGCTCTTTATTAAAGTCAAACATCTCTCTCAACTCTTATAGGATTAATTTTTCTATTAAATATTTTTTCACTTTTGACTCTTTAAATAAACTATTTTTTAACGCCCTATATATACACATACATTATACATGCATACAATTTCAAGATAGTACGCAGGATATGTAATTGAAAAAGTTGCAAACTTGCGAAGGATAATAAGGATCAAAATAGAGAAGTAGTTAGCAGTGTTTGCTGATATCTAGATAAAATTATCTAGATAATTATCTATCTAGATAAAGAAATGGATCATCTTTATCTTTAACTAGATGAAGAAATACAAAGTATCTTTATCTTTATCTTAGATGAAAAATATGTCATCTAAAAATTGTTTAAGATGACGTTTTCATTATGCGAAAAAGTTTTCCAGGCATGCTTCTAAAAATCTATCTAAAATATATTTTTTATATTATTATTATTAATATATTATAAATATATTATTATTATATTATTAATATATTATAAATATATTATAAATATAAATTAATAAATAAATATTTATCATATCATTTATATACCTTTTGCTATTATTTAAATATTCTTTAGGAATAGAGAAAGAATGTGTTTATGATTTTAATATCGCATTTATAATCTGCGTCACATTTTTTAGAAATATTTATAGTCTTCTAAAATAAACAAAAATATCTAGATAATTATCTAGATTATCGCAATAATTATCTTATCTTTCATTATCTTATCTTTCTAGATTAAGTAAAAGCAAAATCATCTTTATCTCATCTAAGATAAATTTACGGATTTTTATCTTTATCGTTATCTAGATAATTTTGAAATTATCTACAGCAAACACTGGTAGTTAGTAATATAATGACATGCACCTGTAACTCTCTCATTTACATCCACATCCCTTGTACGATTAATGCAATGCCCCGCATTAATTTGCTCCTGCTCTGTGCTTTGTGACGCACTTGAAGATATTGAGTTCCCGGCAGAGAAATTCAGATTCAGAGCATGCACGATGTCCTCCGGAGGCGAAGTGAGATATCGCTTCTGTCTCTTCAAGGTATCCATTTCAAAATCATCCGAGCTGGACTGGCTTCGAATCACTTTCGTCCGTTTCGTGATCTTCACGTTGTTCGATTCTTCGCCTCGACCTTCAATTCCAAGTTTTGGGCTCGATTCATTGGCATTTTCCGCAATGTTACATTTTATGATGTCGTTCAAAGTATCGTCTTCTCTAATGACATCGAAATGATCGCACTTTGGTATAGTGGAGATCACCGTGCACGTATCTTTGTTTCTTTCAAACCCACTCTTCATTTCTGGGCCACTCGTCGCATCTTTTGGACGCAAATATTTCCCTGTTTCAATCTCGTCGCGAGTAATTCTTTTCCTCGGCGCTCTGGGTGGTCTTTGGCAAGCAGGTTGATAATGCGATGGCTTCAGTTGTTCGCTTTTCACCTCAATCATGTCCGGTTTGGGCATACTTTTGTTCAGAGAATTCGATAACACGTATGATTTATCGTCCTGATTTTCATTTTCGTCACAAGAATCCATGTTTTTAGATTTTATCTTGCAATCTTGTTGTAAAATATTCTCTTCTTCTTTGGAAGTAACATTACGTTCCAGTAATAACAGGTTTCTTTGCAATTCATTTAACTCTATGGAATCAGAATGTAAACCAATATTTTCTTCCTTACTTAAATGTTGGCTCAAATTTAATAATTCCTGATCTTTTACATCGACAATCTCTGGTATTTCGTCCTTTTTGCTAAACTTATCTTCAAAATGTGTTTCTGGATTAATAGGGATAATTGATTCCATACAATTAGAGTTGGCTAACTCAAAATTGTTGTCCATTTTATGATTGGGATATTGACTTGATTTTAAAGACACTCTGTCATCGATCTTTGTTTTTTCTATTTGGTCCATCTGATCTTCTTTGAAAGGTATAGAATCGACTTTTGACTTCGAATGTATCCTTTCTCGCTTAATGTGTCTAACAAGATCATCTTCCATCGACGATATATTGTCGGTATTTAAATTGTAGCAATGTGTTTCATTTTTAAGGTTTGCACGTTCACGTGATAAACTGTTTATATGATCGCGTTCCATGCTCAAGGTTCTAGGTGGTGCCAAGGGTGGAATCACTTTACGTTTAGGTGCCTTTGGATGTTCTGAAGCGCTAATCTTACACGTGTTAACCTTTCGAGGCATGGGAAGGGGTACAGGTTCTCCAACTAGTTTGGATAAAGAAAGAAAAAAATGACCATCACCGAAAATACAAGCTAGCAAAATGTGGTATACAAACAAGCAAACTGATCAAAGTATATGTACATACTATGCGTCGGATAGAGCAACAAGAATGCATTGTTATAAATTCTAGAGATACGTAAATCAAGTCTTGGTGCAAAATCGTGTGTCCATATACTTTTGTGTAAAAAAGAAAAGGATATTCGGAATCACATCATTTTCTAAATAGAGGAATGTATTTTGTATTAATGAATTATTTCATAAAATACGAATAAGAATAATAAGAAAATGTGTAAAAAATCTTTCTTTAATTTATTCCTCCTTTTTAATTTATAATATAATCTGCAATTCAGAAAATTAAGCGATTCCAAACTCTCTTGATGATGCATATACAAATATAAATAATGTAGAATTTTAAATAAAATTAATTAAAAACAACTCTTATGAAAAAGTGCAAATAAACAATATAAATAACATATCATGTGGTTGGTGAAAAAAAAGAGTAATATGTATTAAATATATTTTCAAAAGATTTTTGCTGATTCAATTTTTTAATTTAAAGATTAACCGTTATCATAATAATTAATTATCATAATTATCGAGATATATATAAAATTGGAAATTAGAAAATTGTCAAAACAAGACAATCTTCGGAAAAAAATTCGAAAATTTATTCATTTCTATTCCTAATTAATAGAATTTGAACATTATTTCTATTCGTTCTAACGAGAAGTCTATTACAGAGATCCACTATGTCTATCGAGTTTCAAACAAATTCGCCAACTCTACTCTCGAGAATCGAATTCAACTGGGCCAGAAAACAATTCCAATTTTCATTCGATTCTTGACGATTGACCAAGCCAGGCGGTGGTGGTTGCAAGATGCTTAACTTCCTCTCCTCTAATTTGTTCTCGGTATGATTTATCATAGGTAACGAGGGTAGCTTGTCAATGTCACTAGGTATAGAATCTGTGGATGCCATTTGGATGTCTAATGGCTTTCTAGAGATCGCAAATATTTGCAAGGTACTCAGAAGCGGAGGAGACAAATTGTTTCCCGCGTATTGTTTCGAAGAATTATTCCCAGGATCTTCCGATATTTCGTATCCCATATTTTTTACGTTCAATTTTGTATCCTCCCGATCATTCATTAACGTCTGCATTTTTAATCGGCAAATCCTATTCGATCTGTTCACGGGAAACTTACGATTGGAAATTAATTCTTTATGATTTTCACGTAAACTTGGTAGCCTTCTAAGACTTTGGGATTTTCTATCTATTACATTTTGGATATGATCTTTAGTTGCGATACCGAGCGAAATATTATTTACAAAGTTAGGACCCATAGAGCTATCATATTGCGAGTATCTATCAATAAATAATTCATCCCTCTGTGAAAACCCACACTTTCCAGAATATAACGTAGCGTGTGATGTTTCATCATCCATATTTTCGCGGATTTGATGCGGATTTCCCGAAGGACCTCGCGCTTTAAAACTACGGAGCAAAGTATTTGAGCTACTAGGCCCTAACTTACCTTTCTTTGTTACTATTCTAGCTTGCTCTACTTTTGGGGAGGCTTCTACAGGCGCGATCACTTCCACATCCGCTTTAACAAGCTTATGGCTGACCGAATCTGTTTCAGAACATGCCTCGACATTCGTTTCCGTCTTCGCGGTACGATTCTGCTGAATGTTGTCATCGAATTCGTACGTCGTGGCTTCCGACTTTGGCTCATAGCCCAACTCGAGTATAGATTGCGTGCTGATGGCGATGTCGGAATTAGCCTTGGGACAATCGATATCGGAATTAGCTTTCGATGGCGCACCAATGTCCGAGGGCGGTTTCGAAGGATCCATATCGGACGTTAATGATTCCTCAGAGTCGACGATGCGTTCTAATGCCTGCGTGGAAATAGCCGACGAAAGTGGTCTGGGCGTCGGCGGAGGAGGAGCTACTCTCTTCTTTCGACCTATAAGCAATTTACATGGACCAATTGTAACAAACAATTCCATTTTTCTCAAGTAATATATGTTCACTACCAGTGTTTGCTGGTATCTAGATAAAATTATCTAGATAATCTATATAATCATCTAGATAAAGAAATGAATCATCTTTATCTTTAACCAGATGAAGAAATACAAAGTATCTTTATCTTAATCTTAGATGAAAAATATATGTCATCTTATCTAAAAAGTGTCTAAGGTATGACGTTTTCATTATGCAAAAAAGTTTTCCAGGCAAGCTTCTAAAATCTATCTAAAATATCTAAAATATATTTTTCATATTACTATTATTAATATATTATAAATATATTATTATTATATTATTAATATATTATAAATATATTATAAATATAAATTAATAAATAAATATTTATCATATCATTTATATACCTTTTTGCTATTATTTAAATATTCTTTAGGAAAAGAGAATAAGTGTTTATGATTTTAATATCCCATTTATAATCAGCGTCACATTTTTTACAAATATTTATAATCTTCTAAAATAAACAAAAATATCTAGATAATTATCTAGATTATCGAAATTATCTCATCTAGATTAAGTACAAGCAAAATCATCTTTATCTCATCTAAGATAAATTTACAATTTTTCGATTTTACGAATTTATGATTTACGATCTTTATCTTTTTTTAGATACTTTTGAAATTATTTACAGCAAACACTGTTCACTACTAATCTACTATTTCCCCAATAACAGTGGGAATTCATTATTAGACTATGTAAGTTCGATACGATCAAAAATCTCACCAGTGAGAGAAGTGCTGCTGATCCCCCGACTAAGCGTCCCACCGGTCATCGCCAGATTGTTCAAACTCTTACTGGACTGCGAAGTTTGCGCGAGTTTTCTGGAAGTGTTGGACATGCCAGGTGCTTTGCTTCTCCTTGGCAGAGTTTCCGGTAGTCTCGCGGCCAAATCTGGATTATCGCTTAGCACAGAGGCTTCATGGTAACCGGAACTGTCGCTACTGTTCCGGCTATGATTGATCACCATTTTATCTTTGCCGCTGTCCCCAGACGTACCTTGAACAGGAGGCACGGCGTGCGTAGGCGGTTTCGGAGCTGGTCTCCTTTTTCTCTGTGGTCGAGTTGGCGGCTGAAGGGGACTGGCGCTTCTCGCAGTTTCGTCACTTCTGGCCGGTGACACGCTGCGACCCCCGAGACTATCCGTACTAAGCGAGGTCTCTTTGGATTTTTTGAACATAAAACCGAACACACTTTGCTTGGTCTGCTGCCGGCGTCGCTCCTCTTGCCTCTGCAGCGCCATTATGTCCTGCGTACTTAATGACGGACCTAGACCCTTGGCCTGTTTTGCGTAAAGAGTCACTTCCTGCAGATGATAGTCCTGCAGCGATAGCGATAAGTCCAACGTCTCTTCCAGATTAGCTGGAATAAAGAAAACTAATCAAATACTGATCAAATACTGATAGAAATACTGACATATGATCAAATGCTGAGATCCAATACCAATTAAAATTAGATGCATGATAATTAATAATTGAATGAATTTATATTCTTATCATATTTATATTTTTATTATTTTATTTTTTATATGAATTTATATTTTATATCATTATAGGAATGTGAATAATTTAAAATAATCAAAATTTTTCACATATTTATAAATACTTATATTATAAGAGTGTAAGTAATATTAATGTGATTTTATCAATATTACAGCCAATTGCATCATGAAATGTATATTAATGTAAAATTATATATAAAATATAAAATTATAATATTTTATATTTTATATATAATTTTATATATATTTTTATATAATATTTTATATATAAAATTATATATAAAATATTATAAATATATTGTATTTAATTTCTTATATAAAGTTACATAAATAAAATTACACACACATATTATAATAAATAAAAAATTTTAAAAATATATATAAAATTCATATATTCATATATATATAATCTCTTTATTTATTTGATTTTTCGATTTGTATATGTATTATACATTGTTAGAGAGTATTAAATAGAAAAAAACTATTAAACAAAATTCAATACAAATAGAAATATATTTTAATGTTAAAAACTATCTAGAATTTTCACTTCTGCTATTTTATATGAAAACTTTTGTTATTTTATTAAAAAAGTTTATATAAAAGATTTCACATTTTTGTGCGTTCAAAATAAAATAAAATTTAACATAATTAAATATACCCCAGCAAACACCAAGTAACAAGTGTTATATAAATGTTATGTGCTAAATAACTGTTATATAACTGTTATGTGTTAAATAACAATTATATTGTTGAATGGGAAATTATAACTAACAATTATATAACTGTTACTTTTTGCTGGGACACAATCAAATATAATAAAATTAAATATAACGTAAAATCCTTCATTTTCACCTTTTATAAAATGGAAAATTACAAAATCGCTGTCGAAATAAATGAACTTTTAAAAAATATTTAAGAAAAATTGAGATTTTTTCAAAATTTTCGGAGCAAATTAGATATCACAGTTTGTTTTCTGGAATCAGATATACAGGGTGTCCCAAAACTCATAATCAATCTTTCAAAGACAGATTCCTGGAATCATTTGAAGACGATTTTTCCTCAGCGAAAATGTCGATAAAGGCCATTTGCAATTAAGCCTTAAATTAAAACTCAACTAAAGTAAACTCTATTTAAAATTAATCGAAGAATATGGTTTTGTTAATATTTTATTTCTGCAAAGCTTAGTTTGAACGAAAAACCCCTTATTTTCAATCACTTATAATTCAAAAATTATTAGTGCCTCAATATTTTCGTTGAGGAAAAATCGTCTTTGAAAGATTGATTATGAGTTTCGGGGCACCCTGTATGTGTGTAATTAATTAGAACTCTTGGAGAACAAATTCCTCTAATGAACATTGGACACATTCTAGAACTCATTAAAGGAAAAATATTTCAATCTCGGTGTCTGTGCGTGATATCAACTATATAAAGTATCTTACGCATTCGCTAGATTTACATTCTACAGGGTGGCCCCGAACGTTCCAGTCAGACTTTGAGATCTTATAGGAAATTTAATTCTGAATAAAAAATTTTGCATAAACATGGGTCGAAAAATGCTTCCTTAAGAAGTTATCGCTCAAAAACCTCTGATGAAGGAAGAGCAAAAGGTGAAAAGAAAATGAAATAAAAAGAAAATGAAACTAAATAAATTTCTTGAAAAAAACGATAAAAATAAAAAATAAAAATCTTTTTCTTTCATGAAAATAAAATAATTTTTTTTTTAACTAACTTTTATTTTATTTTCATAAAAGAAAAAGATTTTTATTTTTTATTCTTATCGTTTTTTTCAAGAAATTTATTTATTTTCATTTTCTTTCTATTTCATTTTCTTTTCATCTTTTGCTCTTCCTTCATCAAAGGTTTTTGAGCGATAACTTCTTAAGAAAGCATTTTTCGACCCACATTTATAGGAAATTTTTTCTTCAGAATTAAATTTCCGAATTTAATTTAATTTTTTCTTCAGAAATTTTTCTTCGGAAATTTTTTCTTCAGATTTAAATTTCCGAATTTAATTTAATTTTTTCTTCAGAAATTTTTCTTCGGAAATTTTTTCTTCAGAATTAAATTTCTTATAAGATCTCAAAATCTGGCTGGAACGTTCGGGGCCACCCTGTACATCTACGCATTCCTAGAAGCTTTTTAAAGAGAAGGTGGATATTTCCCTTCGGAACAAGTCCTACAAACACAACAACTACTTTTCAGCAGGTATATCGCCTCGATCTGCAGTTATTGCAAACAGACGCGGATGAACCGAATTATACTTCCAAGACAATCGCTCCGTGGAAAGAGGAGGAGGATGATAATTTTTGAGTGACGGAACCGCCTGGAGCACTCGCGATTTTTTTTCTCCTTTTAACGTACATCCTTCGTTTGCGTTATCGCGGATGCACAGGCCCGCCTGTCACAGCGAGTTCTCTCCTCAGCGCGAGCGTGAATGCACCTGGAGGTATGCGAGCGGGAACTGGAATTGCATTCTCCATTCCCCTCGCGCGGCGCGGATCAATTATAAAACGTACGCGGGCAAGCACGGGCGGAATGCCGCGCATTTACGCTCGTTCTTCCACAGGACGAGCGTGAGGATGAGAATGAGAAAAGCAGAGGCCCGACAGCCTAGGAGTAACAAGTGCTGCGGCAGCCTGCCGGCAACCTTGCGATAGTGATCTCAGCAGCCAACCTGTAACTAGCTAACTGAAATATCTCGTGCAGTGTCTCGTCAAAGGTGAGGATCACTTGGCGGTGGAACGCTTCACAGGTTCATACGAAAGCCTCTCATAAATAAATAAAATAAATAAATAAATAATTATTAATTATTCAATATTAGACAATTAATATATTTATTACACATTTATTAATTTATTTATATATTTTTTCATTCCTTTGCGAGAAATTTATGGATTAGATCATTGCTTATATTATAATATATTATAAGTGATTATTAATATATTAAATGTATATTGTAGAATTATTTAATTAATATATATTTTAATAATACATTAATAATATATCACATATAATAATAATTATAATTTATATTTTAATATATTAATAATATATATTTATTTATAATAATAAATACATATTTATTAATAATAAATATATATATATATATATATATATATATATTTATTTATTTATTTATTTATAAAGAACTTGCTTATTTGAAATTTATAATAATATATTTATATTATATATTATATTATATATAATATAATATAATATATAATATTTATATTATATATTATATTATATATATATATAATATATTATATAATATATATTTATTTATAAAATTATTTATATAAATATATATTTATAATATATTTATAATATATATTTATTTTATATAAAATAAATTTATTTTTATAAAATATATAAAATTTTTTTATTCTTATAAAATATGTGAAAGTTTCTGAATTTTAAGTCGGCGCTATATTTATTGGATAGATTTATTTTATTTCATTATGCTTTGATGGCACGCGGAAATAACCATGGCACGTATTGTGATGAAACTTGAGTTGAGTTTATGGAAATGAGCACGTGCGCAAGAATCGCCGAGGAATTAAAAAGGGAAATCAGACGAAGACTTTCATCGACGCATAATGCGAAAAGCATTTCCAGAAAATTGGATTGCGTCCCTGTCGTGTATGCACGCACCATTTGGCCCGAATCATTTGGCTTCCGAAGCCGTATCACGCTGTTCATGTACTAATTAAACTATAAATATTATGTAAAATTAAATATTTATGCGGAGTTTCAATAATTAAATAATTGTAATTAAATGCAAAAGAAGATTTTTTTGTTGTATATTTAATTATAATTTGATCATTTTGCGAGAATTAATTTTTCTTAAATTTATTCATACAATTTTATCGAACTCATATGATCAAAATGTGCAAGTGTACTCACATGGATGACGAAGCTCGTAATTATTTTTTGTCCAGATTCTTCTCACGACATACTTCATCTAGAATTTCTCCAAGGTTCATCTTCGGACTGACCCTCGATACATACAGTTGATTTCTTGGCAAATGCACCTGCGTCGATTATCAAATTATCGCGTATTGCATTACGATTTATTGCATTTTTATTGCATTCATATTGCGATCTATTCTAAGTACGTAACTGGTTTTAAATGAGATCATTCGCTTTCAACATTTGTCGGTAAATCGAACAAGTACAAAATCGATTTTGCAGCAAAATAATCTCTTGTGTTACAAGACATATTCTTTAATCGATTTTCACAAAACAAATAAAATTGCTTGTATGCACAATAAATAAGAAAATTATATACACATGTGCGTACATGTATATAAATTTGTTTAAATTTTATTTTTAAATATTATAAATATTTCTCTTGAATTTTAATATCTTATAAATAATTGATCATAATAAATACTTTTATTCAATTTTATTTCAATTGAAAAAAATAAAATAAAACAAACATTCTTCACATTTGAAAATATGTAAATAAAATAGGTAAGGAATATATGGCTTTAATGATAGAAAATATGTATACGTATAAAATTGCTAGGATTGTGTATGAATAAAATAATTAGATCAAGCCTCAATATGACTAATAATTAAAATTACTACTGTATTTTACCTGCAATCTAAATGTCGTTTCAAAAGGTTGATTAGCTTGCTTTGTTTTACGTGGCATACATGTCCCCTGTTTGGGAAGTAATTTAACCTAGAATAAAACAAAAGCACCTTTTAATTGTGTCGCAAATTTTATATTTTAGCTATAAAAATATGTGAAAATAAATTATTTTTTCGTAATATGAAAAATATGGCATTGAATCTTCTATTCAATCTTATATTTAATTTTTTTTATAAGACATAAAAGAAATTATATATATATATATAATATATATTATATATTATATATATTATATTATATATAATATATATATTATATATATATTATATATATATATATATATTATATAATATTACATACAGGGTGTCCCAAAAGTTCCAAAAGAAGAAATATTTTATTATAGTGTTTATTATAGTGTTTTGGAAAGCTCTCGAGATAAGCTACACGAATATGTAATAAAAAATAGGAGTTTCCGTTTCAGAAATTGAAGGTGATCTTTACGTTACCTTCAAATGACTTTTCAAGGTCAAATCATTTTCCACTATCTGATGGCCTCTTTCAAGCCATACAACTTTTGTCTGAAACATTTCTTTCTAAAGTGCATAGTTTATGAAATATTCGATCGGTCCGAGACTTTTGGGACAACCTGTGTGTGTTGTGTGTGTGTGTGTGTGTGTGTGTGTGTGTGTGTGTGTAAAATTTTTAATTTACATTTATGTGTGAAAAATAATTAATAACTGCCATATATGTGAAAATAATAATTTCAAATAAAATAAGGGCAAGAAATATTTATAAGTGTTTTTCTTTTATCAAGAAATATATATTTGGGCAAAAGTTCGATTATCGAAGTACTTTTTAATATTATTAAAATAATAATACTTAATAAAATAATTAGCTATTACAAAATCTGGAAAAAGTGAATGCATAAGATTCACAGAAGAAATCATATTAAATTCTTGTATCCCGGAGAGAAAGTATAACGATCGGTACTGGAAATTGACGTGCGAAAGGGTTAATCTAACACGCGAAGCAATGAACGAGCATCAAAGAATTGTCGTTAGAAAGTGTGTAGAAATTCTCGCGTAGAAATTCACGTGACACGCGTTGGGAAATTGTTAGAATCGTTAATGGCCGGTTGGTCGCCGCCCGAATGGAAAATCAAGAGGGTGATGACTTCTATTTGCGCAAATATCGTAAATCACAAAACCGTAAATCGTATGCAATTATCGATACGTGTAAAGAAAAACGACGAAATCGATTGCGCACAAATGATTGTGATTAGGTTTCTAATCAATCACTTTTTTTTTCGATAGTCGATTCTGTCTCCGAGATTGTTACCGAGATCTCGAGGACGCAGTTTTAATCATTTAATCTCCATGATTGTATATATGCAAAAAATTATAATTATATATATAAATAAATAATAATTATATATATATATAAATAAATAATATAATAATAATAAAAATAATAATAATAATAATAATAAAATAATAATTAATAAAATTAATAATTATATATAATTATATATAAATTAAATATAAAAAATTATAATGTATGTTATAAGCAAGATTATTATAAAAATTTTTAGTCTTGTATAAAATAAATAAAATCATAAAATAGGTATTTTCGATTACATAATATAAAAGTATTCTTTTAAATAGGATTTATATTTCAATTGAATTAAACCAACTAAAAAATTAATAATTACATACACCCATTGTATCTCCTGATAAAAAGGGAGCAATGTTTATCATGAATTAAACTTTGATATAAATTGCCTTTAAATTTTTATTTAATTTTTATGAACCCTATACAGTTTATATAAACCCTATACAGTTTATATAAACTTAGAAATGTGCATTATATCTTCATATAAAATATTTGAATTACCTGAAGAACGTCCAATGCTCCGATAGGAGTGTTTGGATGATGAGATAGAACTAAGCCATGTTCACCGATCGCTTGCAATGTATAATTCGAAGCTGTCAATTTATGGGCTGTCGCGATCTGCACTAGAAGATCCATCATTGGCGTGCTATAATTAATTACATCAACAATTATATATATATAATATAAGAATGTAATGACGATGATCGATACACATTAATTTTTCACAAATATCTTCTCTATCAGAAAGACTTAAAAGTCCATCAATCCATAATTTTTACAGTTTTTATTATTTTATTTTTATTTTGTTCTTTTATTATTTTATTTTTATTTTTTCTATTTTTTATAAATATTATTAATTATATGAACTTATCATTAATTTAAAGAAAATCAATATATCGATTAAGCTTTTAATTATATAATAAAAGTAATCATGTAATAAGAGTATTATGTAATAATAATAATTTAATTATATATAATAAAAGTATCAAATATATAATTTGATATAATAATGTATAATTAATGTAATATAATAAAGTATTCAATGTAATAATTTATACAATTTATATAATATATAACAAGAATTAGGATACTATTTTAACATTCATATTTCTAGAACAGTGAATTTAAAAATTCTTTATATATATAAATTGCAACTTATCTAACTGAAAATTTTAAATCGATAAACAAAATTCTCCCATAAAAGGCATAACGATGAAATCGCGATAACAGAATGACGTCATCAGAAGAGATAAGCAATCGTCTGATTATATGTACACAAATCTAATACCGATATCATACAATTCTTAATATTTTTTTTTAATTACTGCATTTACATAATACAAGAACATCTTTTCCTCTTTAATTTTTCTCTCTTTTTCTCCTTCTCTTCTCTCTTTCTACCCTGCTTTTTTTCCTTTCTCTTCCTTTTTCTCTTTTCCTTTCTCTACTTTCTCTATTTACACGTTAATTTATTTCACTTACAATTGTGTTATAATTTAATATTTAATAGTAGTAATTATCTAATTCTATATAAACTTATCCAATGTCATGCATGCATATACACCATCATTTATATAAGAAAGTAATTAATTAAGTAACATATTATAGAATCTGGAGTTTTTCCTTAACTGGCTAAATAAAATGTTACAAGAAAGATAAAAGAAGAAAAACATTTATTTGTATTAAAAGAAAATATAATTATTTATAGAAAATTAATTATTTTACAAATAGAGTTAAATGTTAATTATATATCCGCGAACTCGAGCAATCATATATATATACGTTATGATACATAGAATGACATGAAAGTTTATAGTAAAACTGACAGTATAAAAAAATTGAAAAATTTAATTTGGCTAATCCTTCATCGTTGAGATTAAATTGCAAACATTTTAACAATTTCAAATATTTATAGTTATTAATATTAATAATTGTTATACACTATTAATAATATTATTGTTATAATTATTAATATTATTAATTTATATATAATTTAATAAAATGATATTGATAAAATTAATAAAAAGAATAAAAACAGTTTTATTCTTGAATTTTTGGGATTGAAGAATTGTTGACGAAGATTGTTGTTGTGTTTAAAATTTTTATAAAAATATACCTTCTTAACACTGTAACTCTCTGCGTATGAAGATGATGATCGCGAGGTAGTTGAACCAGAAGCTCCATACTTCCAGCCAGCATGTCCGCCGGAGTGTCTTCTGTCACAGTAAGAACCATTCTGGATGGCCTCTCCTCTCTGCTCCTGAAATAAAATATATTTTTCAAATTATTATTTTTTTTTAAATATTTATTTAATTTTTTTTAAATATACTTCAATTAATTAATTTTTTAAAATATATTTCAAATTATTATTTTTTAAAAATATATTTTTGAAATTATTATTTAATAAATAAAATTTAATTACGCGTATAATTATGCTCTTTTGCGAAAGACAAGCAACACATAAATAAACAAATTTTATCTTTTTTTTTAATTTTGTATTTTTAGATTTACACATATTTGAAGCTTTGTATTAATATTATGTTTTTTTTTATATCTTACAACGTTACATATAAAACTTATTTTTAGAAGTTCTGCGATTATTTCTTTAATGTTCGTTAAGCTACTTAATTTGGTCTTCAACAATTTTACGGTCTATGGCTTGTAACGGATTATAACCATGTATAGCATGCTCGTTATAGCTACGTGTGTATAATATATATATTACACGTGTACGTATAGGTACTTTTACAAAATACTGTGTAATGCATTGAGGAAGTAATGTGCCCATTTAATTATTACATTAGATTCCATTTAATTAGATTTAACTTTCGCCTATTGAAAAAGAAAGCATGTTCTTGTCATGTTGTTTTGTTATTACTTCGATTTAATTAATTAATAAAATTTATAAAATGAATAAATTTCTTCTCTTAATAAAATTTATACAATACTGTGAGAAGATTCTTCTCTTCATTTTTCCGCATATGGAGTTTAATGACGGAAGTACGTAAACTTGAAATATTTTAAAGAGAATTATACCATATTTAATAATGCACAAACATCAATTTAAATTTTCATCTTTTCATAGATACGAAATATATTGCCGTAAAATTCAAAAATAGAGATGTTAAAAAATTTTACAATTTTTTTCATAGTTTAATATTAGACTCTATTTTATGTCGAATACGATAAAGGGAAAATACGAGAGGCTGAAATATTTTCACAGGATAAATATTTTCTTCGATCATACCCGAATTTTCTCGCGACGTTGCTAAGTTTCGCTAACTTTCTCGCGCTGCATCCGTCCTTTCGCATACCTTGCCAGCATTTAATAGAAACTGGATCAAGCACTTTTTTGCCTCTGTTATATTGTTCACAAACAGCGTTCACATGATTGTTACGATTCTCTTGAGAATGAATTCTTTTCACGAATGGTTGCAACGAATTACCAATATGCTATGTTTTCTCGTGTAAGAATGACACATCGAACATAATTAGAAGTAAACATAATTAAAGGTTGAAAATTCAGCAAAAAGCAGAATTTTATAAAATTATAATCAAAAGTCATAATTTTATTTTTTTGATGAAATATATTATTAAATTATTATTTATATATATTATTAAATATATTATTAAATATATTATTAAATATATTATTAAATATATTATTAAATATATTATTAAATATATTATTAAATTAATATTTGTGTTACAAATTTAAAGTTGAAATAACTTCTGACTTATTTCTGACAATTTTTTAAAATATGACTTTCTAATGATAGAAGAAGAAATTAATAGAAGAAGAAAATGATAGAACAAGAAAAACTGCATCGATCAGTATATTATAATTATAAGTACAAGATTTCATTAAAAAAAGTGCAACTGAAGCAACTGCATCCATGCATAAAAATGCATAAAAATAAAAGTAATATAAAAATAGAATTATAAAAATATAAAATAGAAAATAGAATTATAGAAATATAAAAATAGAATTTAAATTGCCTTCATTTTTATTACAATTATAAACAGGATGTTCCTTCTAAGTATCCACTTATATTACATCCTATATCATTATAATTGCGAAAATAAAAATTGAGGCAACTTGAATCCAATAATTAAAACACACATTTTGGAAAAATCGGAAGAATGTCATTTAAATGTAAGTGAAAATATTTAAAAAGTTTAGAAAGTTGAAGAGAAATTAAAATTTTGTGAATAAAATTTTCCAACAAAAAGATTCTTGTATAATCCTTATGTAATCCTTACTCTCTAATACGAAAGTAATCAAATAAATTATCAAAGCATTAATTTCGATTTTTTTAAATATCTTTTTTTTTATATTATGAATTGTAAAATAAAAAAAATTTAGTGACGACAAATTATGAAATAAAATCGTTAATAATGCAAAACAAGATTGAAGGACAAATATTTTTAAAAAAGCAAGCGTTGTGCAAGTTGCTTACATTTTATTGCCGCAATCCTGCATATAATTATCATATATATTATACTTGAAATCACTTTCAGGAAGTTAACTTCATCAATAAGAGGAGCTGCTTGTATAGTTCAATTTATAATATAAAGTGATAAGAAAATTTATTGTGATCTCATTGTCAGTGAAACTATTCCGATTTCATACTGTTATAAGCATCACTTTATAAAAAAAAAGCATTAAAAAATTAATTGATACTCTCGAGGATTTACGAGACTCTTTGATACGTCTATGAAAGTTCCAAGCCAGTAAGCATAATCATAATAAATCGGACACGTCTAACTGTTCAAGTTGTTCAATAATGCGATACAACAATTTTATTATAGGATATCTTAAAACTCCCGGATGTCTTTTTAATAATAAATTTTTTGAATAATTTGACAAACCTTCTATAGCAAAAGTGTCAAAATGTCAATAAATTTCAAATTATAAAAGATTAAAAAAGCATTTTACAAATTCCAAACTTTGTGGAATCCAAAGATTAACATTTCTTTTAAATTTTATTTTATTTTAATTTTATTTCTATTTTTTTTTAAATCTTTAAAATCTAATAATGCCTATTTTTTATAATATTTTTATAATAATTTTTATAATATTTTTTATTTGGTATTCATTCTTATCCTTTATTTTAATAAACATATGCAAACAATTGTTCTAAATAAAACACTTAAGATATTGGATTTTAATAAATAAATATTGATAACTAAATTTTAATAAATAAAACAAAAAAAATTCTTATTTTTTATCGAATTTTAAATAAAATGTGGTAAAAATTAAGAAATTGTATTTTACGTATATTTGTTTAAAACGATTAAATATATTTAATATAAAATAATAATGATTACGAATAATGTAAGAATATATAAATATATATTTATATATTATTTTATACATTTATTATTATATTATATTTATTATTATATTATTATATTATATATTATATATATTTATTATATTATACTATATATTATTTTATATATATTTAGAGTATCGTTACTTGTGGATCATAAATATGTAGAACGGCAAACTGGGTAATTGTAATTCACGACTTATAATGTCTGGCTTCGATAATCAACTTTTCTTGCCACTTTCGGATACATTAAAGTGATATTAACGTGTTATGTAGGGCATGTGATTTTAAAGTAGGATACGACATACATATAAAGGTACAAGCATCTACATATGTCCCATCGTATATAAATACAAGATGTCCAGTATTGCTAGTATTATTTAGTCCAAAGGCTGCACATGTAAAGATGAATAAACTACGACAGTAACGAGTTAATTAAGACGAGTGTACATGATACCACATAAATACATTAAAGGAAAAGAATAAGATGGCAAATATAAAAGCCAAGACGTGATAATTGCAACAAAAAAACGAATGTATCACAGAAAAAATTCTTCATAAAATTACTTGAACATTTTAACCCCCTTTCCAGTCATCTTAAGCAGCACGAAATATTATAAAAATCAATACACACTATGTTCACAAAATTAACTGTCTAAAAAAGGAAGATTAATAAATATCATAATTAGATACATTATTATACACTTACTGCACACATTTGTGAAAACCAAACGTTGGAAACATTCTGGGAGACATTGTCGAGACACAAATCATCAGACGGATAAAGGAGCAAACAAGCAGATATATAAATAAAAAAATAGATGATAATAAGTGATAATGCCTTTAATCGGATCTTTATGAGAGAACAACAGATAAGGATTCGAACGCGAGAAAAAAAAAGAGAGAAGCGAGCAGGCTTTTATAAAAGAGACGAGTATTATTTCATTCAAGGTGAGGATTATTTGTCATACTCGTGGCATTCACGAGCATCACTTTCCTTTACGGGATTTGCTATTTCCGCTTTCTATCTGACCTTTCAGATTTTTCATAATCACGTTATATACCATCTTATCCCATAACTCGTCTGTTGTCTGGCGTTAATCAAAATGTGAATAAAAACTGTAATAGAATAAGATTAAACCTCTTTTATCCGTAATAATATTATTAATTAGAAATTTGCAAAAATTGTAAATTAAAAAGAAAAATCAACTTTAACCTTTAAAAATCAATCTTTTTTTTTCCTGTTGAATTATCTTAATCAATTCATCTAAACTCCAACTTCCAATAAAAACAATATATATTACTGTTAATATTAGGATAAAATTTAATTTTATATAAATGTTTTTCAGTTTCCATTTCGAACATGAAAAATTAAAATTGCGACAATAAATGGTTTCTGATAAAATCCTCGACCAGGAAAAAAATTATTCTAAATTCGTCAAAGAATTTAGAACTAAAAAGAAAAATTGCTGACAATGAAAAAAAGAATCTTCATTTTTTATCCAGCAAAAGAAGCGATTATAGATTAATATGTACATTTTACACCAATAGATACTGACATGCAAATAATATTAATAATTAAACGGTTTCTAAATAAACGAAATAATTATAAGATAACTAATAAAGCGAGATTATGCGAATTATATAAAGACATTTAGTTATAAATAGAATATTATGATAAAAAAGAAATATATATGTTGTTCTTTTTCAATAGAATTTTATAAAATCTTTTATCGATGACGATAGAAAAAATATTTTTATTTTATTGAATTTTTAATCACTCAATAAATTCCTCAATCTTATCCTAAGAAAATCATACAAATCATAGACATATACAGGGTGTCCCAAAAGTCCTGGACCGGTCGAATATTTCATAAACTATGCACTTTAGAAAGAAATGTTTCAGACAAAAATTGTATGGCAA